ATAACATTAGTATAAAATAACAGACATCTCTGTATACTTTTAAAGTTTGGATAATTAATTTATGGAAACGAATTAATTATTATTCCAGTGCTATAATTTGGTCCCTAGACCAATTATACCCGATTGAAACTATTATTCAGTTTAAAGGAACTTATTCCTTTAACAATGGCCCATACTCTTCCTACAAATATTTATTTATTTGTTTTGTAACAAAATAGTCTATTTCATTTTAAATACCATACCTTGTTTATTTCCTCTCTCTTTGTTTACACTGTACGAAGATTCAACGCTGTGTTTTCTTCGCATCTGGATAACAAAATTGTTATAAATTATAATAAACAAGTGTTAGAGGTTTTCATATTAATTTATATATTATAATATATGACGAGCATCTCGTCGCATCAAATATATTTCTTTTCGTGTATTCGTTCATTATAATTGTTTTCAAGACAGCCACTTCATCGGCGACGTAAATAATATTGGCAATATAGAATTAGCAAAACAGAATTAGCAATACACAATTGCAATACAAAATTCACCATATAAAAGTCCAAGCATTATCACAATGAATTCGTTCTACATTGCTCTTATGAGCCACTGTAGTAGACTCTCTTCTACACAATTCTTGACATTCATTGTTAGAATTTGTTAGCAAACTATCATTTTGAGGAAAGACAATCTTTGCTTCAAATGAAAACCCTTTTAAGGAACTAGGTCCTTGGTCTTATTAATTTTATTTAAGCCTTTTTATATATATTTCAGTATATATTTATCTGTACTCACCTCTTGCGTGTTCGTTGTTCCCGACTCCAAGTAACTGATAAGCTTAGCTTCATTACATACTTCGCTGCTCTTCCTACGTGACAAATTATCACGACTGTGGAATAATATTAGATCTATTATGAAAAAGTGTACTTTAAATTAAACATTATAAAATATATAATAATAATCATCATTATTTGTCATATTAATCGATATTACAAATACAATTACAAGAATATTAAACAATCCTATACTCGTATATACATATTTTATGTTATATCTCATAAGTATTTTAAGTTCCTATATATTAATATAAATAATTTATATAATTTTTTAAACATACATCTTCGATATCACATATATCTTCGATTCATTACTTGTATATTTCCTTATATAACGTTTGTTCTTATCCCTACCAAGTGTTATGTGTTCCTTATACATGTAGCATGTTGTTCATGGTACCTGTCATGTAGTGCATGTAATCTCGCTCGAGGTATCATGAGGGCTGGCGGCGGGGGAGGGGAGTGTCCGGGAGGCTCCGGGGCCTGCTTACTGTGTGATGTACACCGGGACTACAATAGAATAGAATACAAGTAAAATATACATACATATAGAATACACACTTCATGAACAACGAGGATGATTCAATATAGAAGTTACGCAAGAAGCTTCACATGTAATAGTAATTAGTTTAAATTGTATTTGTAGTAAATATAAAATAGTCTCTCTGCCTAAGATATGGAAGATGGAAATTTTGTCTAATCAAGTGAGGTTATAAATCATGAGTGTTATGAAAAGCAACTGGGAGTTAAGAAATAATGTGTAAGAATTCTTGTGGTGACTATTGAATATTTAATTCATCATATTTTTCTTACTTTTGATGGTACATAAGGCAGTGAAGCATTCTGTACGCTACAAGTCTCTGCTTCATTTCTTTCAACAATCAATGCTCGTCTATCAGCTCTTTGCTTTGATGGTATGTTGCCCTGTAAAAGAAACTTATATTGAATTTATACTATAACTGACGATCTTCTACCTGGAAACTTTCTCAGCTTTAGCCAGGGTCTGCCTTACGTGTTGTGAATAGTTTTGGCTAATTGTTCTTACGAATGGCTGCCTGCCTGACATCAACCCTCTTTGGGAATGCATTAATCAGTGATATCTAAATACTCTTAGAAAGTACAGATGACTCGGAAAAATCACATTGCTACTTCCCAGAGCCAGGATCGAAACCACGCCCTCTTGCATGAGAGGCGGGCCTTTCAACCACTAGGCCACCACTGACTTTAACTAATGATATTGTTTACAAATTTAATATGTATAGCTACTATAATTTTTGCATAATGTTTTGTATGAAATTTTATATACATATATATTACCTGATGTAAAGTTGGCATTCCCTGCATGCAACCAATAACAAATGTTTGATTTGTAGGATTCTTCTGACTGCAGCATCTTTTCGAGGCCCAGATGGTCACCACTATGATAATCAACGCTCCTACTACAGTGACTGTTATCAATACAGCTGAAAATGAAACACATTCGGTATAAGTTTTATGTTAAGTTACATAACATTTGACATAAAAAACCATTCAGAGATAAATGCTACGTGTTGAAATTATTCCTTTATGGATAGGTAATATTAAATTCAAAATAAGAACAATTTATGTTAATCTCGTCATATTTTTTTTCTTTAAATTACCAACATTTTTTAGAGATAGTGAATAGTAGTAGTTCTGATATGGAAGCCTGTAGTACAATTTATAGTTTGGTCGCTCCAGATTACTCAAGTCTCATATGTCTCTATTTACCTTTTAGATTGACTTGACAAGTTCGGCCCGCGTACCATTTGAAACATTCACATATCATAGCGTTCTCACGATCGAAGCAGGTACCATGATAGTTGCAGCCCGCACAGCCTATTGCGTCAGCTGAAAGTTTTTATTGAAAATTACAATTTAAAACATAATCGTGTCATTATTTGTACAAGTTTTATTGTCATTGGAAATCTTACAACGCTTTTCAATTATATATAAGGGTTATGTTTTGATGTCTAAAATACCCCATATATTTCGTGCAACAGAGTAGCAAATGAAATCGACTTACAAGAACATATTCTTCCAGGGTATAGAGTGTTGACGCTGAGGTCTGCAAAACCTTCTAAACAACTACAAGTGTAAGTTCCACGAAGGTTGAAACAGCGTGAGTGTTCGGAACAGTCATTGAACTGACTACTTGTGCATTCGTCGAAATCTGAAAAAAATTAAATACTTCTTAGATTTCTATAGTATATTAGTAATAACAGTGGCGTGCACAGAGATTTGGGGTAGGGTAAGCAGAATACATATGTTTAAAAAATAAAATACCAATTTTCATCATTTCCTCCTCTAAAATATTGATAATAACGTTATCTTTCGCAGGTATTGATTTAAATTTTAAATGAAACTAATATGTTTATTTTTTTTAACAGGCAGATGAGATGTCCCTCGTGATCACCGTTGCTGCAAAGTAATTGAAACGTCTGAAGTATGTATGTAGTTTTTAAACATAATAAAATACGAGAAGTAATCAGAAAATATTAATTTCATTTAAACATTGATAATAACTTATTTGTGTGTACACAGCCGAATAACTAATTAAAACTATCATAATACTTTTTTTTTAAAAGAATAACCTTTCTTTTAGTTCAATCTCAACTGGTCACACACCTTGACTTTACACTTATTTTAATAATTTTATTACCAAATGACAATATTGAAAATCTATTCGTAACTAATTTCAATAAACACATCACAAGCACAGAACTCACAGCTATAATTATAGACAATCCGTTAATAAATTAATCCACTGTTTACTTATTAAAACTTATTCACTTGCGCTTAGAAAGACAAATAACAATTTTCAAAAATAATAAAATGGCGACAAACATATGAACAGTTTACCGACCAATCAGAGCGTCCCGTTTCATTTGACAATTAACGAACGAACGAAGTTGGCAGCGGCCGATCGAAAATGTTTCGTTTTTACATTGATAGATGGCACTTATTAACAAATCATAATTAAAATATCGTTTTACATATCTGTTAACATTTGTAATTCGTAATGTATGATTAAAAATATGTAAGTAAGAATTAAACAATATAGGTTTAGTTGTTATATAGGTAGGATATGCAGTGATTATTTGCATCTATGGTATGCACGCCACTGAGTAATAAGATAGCCAAAGTAGTGTTTGTTGTAAATTTTCTGTATTTAGGTATAATTAACTTACTTGAGAGTGTTCACTTACCACTGACATTAAGGCTCTCAATAAATTCTTCAGATGCATAAATTTCTGTTCCACCAAGACTATAATTATTATTCCGTAAATATTTCTCTATAACTTCCTTCAGTCTGCTTTCATGAGCGTTATCGGAAAGCTAAAGAAAAAATCATTCAAAATAAGCTGCAAACAACATATTTCTAATCTTTACTGAATGGTTACCTGAACGTAGAAATCATTGATCACTCCCTCATATGCACCGTCTTTTGTTCTCATCTCAATAGGATGGAATCCTGTTATGTGGACTCCGTGATAAACATCCCGTAAGTCTGATTGCATTATCATTCTATTTATTCCTTCATGAGTAGCCAATGACAAACTCTCATACTCTTTAGTAGAATTGTCCGATAAATTCTTATGGAATTTGAGCACCTTGTTGTCTCTAGATCCTAGTCCTAATCTTACGGAGTACGTGTATGTTGCTAAAATTGAAAACATTTAAAATATTATGTTGAAGTAGTTAAAATACTGAGTGTTTTTGTATTTTTAGTATAATAGAAAATAGTAATATCTTACGTTTACACGGTCGATCTGGGAACATTCTAGCGAAACCTGGTCTACACACGCACTTCATAACACTATCGATCCTTTGGCATCTTTCATTTCTCGAAGCTTTACAATCTGGTTGACATTCTTTACCATATCCTATACGATTGAAAATGTTTTCATTAAAATAAATTAATACAACATAAAATTAAAGCGACAACTATAGATTAGTTCTAAAGCAATTTATATTTAATCAGTTAATACTTGCCTGTTGGATGAACAACATTAGTCGTTTCTAGGTATGGCGTTCCCGCGAGCAATATTTCACCGAACAAAACCTGTGATACTCCATTATTAGTCACTTGTTCGTTCCTCGTGACCCCGTCATAATCACCAGCCTCTATATCAGTGTTAATAGGGGGTGACTTACCACCATTTTGTGATTTATTCATCACTACAAAGAATGTGTCATTGTCTTTCTCTTCGTCAGTTTCTATTTTTTGAATATTTTCAGTTACATCATCGTCTCTGATTATAAAGTTGTCTCTTTCTTCTGAAGACATAGATATATCATCTAGAGCCACAATCTTGGTGTTTGGAATTGAGTTTATTACGGAAGTCGGTTCAACTTTAACTTGAACTGGAATGTGTTTGGTTACTGTTTCAACTATAGTGGTAGGCTGAACTTGAGTGAATATTTCTGTCACAACATCTACCACAGTAGAAGTATGTGTATTCGTAAGAACCAGTGTTTCAGTAACAGCTCCTTCAGACTGACTAACTAAACTGGTCTTAGTATGTGTTACAGTTAAAGTATGCGTTAAGTTTAAGTAACCAAAGCTGGAAATAGTCTGAGGTGGTTCCGATAGTGTCTTTGTTAAAGTGATAATCGTTGTCTTAAATTCTGTTTTAGTTGGTATAACTTCATCTGATATTTTTATTTCGTTACCGGAGTGATGAACTGAATGTATATGAGTATTCGACGGTTCTTCCCTTAGAGTTAGAGTAGATGTCACGGTTTTTTCGATTAAAGAAACTATTTCTGGCACTTTAGTTCGAACGTTAGTTTCTTGGAGTACTTGAGTTGGACCAAATATAAAATCATCTTCAAGTATGGATTCAGAACTCTCTATAATATTAGTTGGTACTATATTTTTAGAAGGCAAAGGTCGTACAATCTTTCGGATGGATGTTTGTCTTGTTGGTGCTAGCTCTGGACGATATAAAGTTTTGGTTGGCCTGATTGTAACACTAGTTTTAGATGGATGTTTGAACTTGTTAGTATTTAGTTTCTTGTTATCACTATTGAATGGGTAAGGTTTTCGAGTTCTATTTGTAATTCCCGAAGAAACAATTTTGCTTTTTTCTGTGCTAGGACTTTGTTCACTTGATTCCAACTTAACAATATTTGTAGTCTGAAGATTCAGCTTATTACTGGATGTCAGAGATTTATTATTTTCTGTAGTACTTTGAGTTATACTTGTCGTATTCAAATTATGTGTATGATTATTTTTAGTTTCATAACTGTTTTCATAACTAATATTAACAGGCTCTACAGATGATTCATATTCACTGGAATCATATGTTTCTTCTGATTGAGTTTCTGTTGATAATGTATCAGGGCTATTAACTACACCCGACTGTGAAATACTACTGGGGAAGTAAACCGATGTTGGCGCAAAATTAAAGCTCGATGAAAATCCAATATTCGATGAAGTTAACCAACCTGATGACACAGGCGTTGGGAAAACAACAGGTCTTACAGAAGGAAGTGTAGATGTTAATTTTGGAATGTTTTCTCTAGTAACTACTTTCGATGGAGATTCTCTTGGAGGTGGTCGTAATGGAGACGAAGGTTGATCATAATTGAACATAGGTCGTGCCCCTTTATTGATATCGAATGCCGGGCGATACGTCGATACTTCATCTCTATTAGTAGGCTTTCTTAATGGTCTAGATGTTGTTGGTCTGGGTGGTAAGGTTCGTTGAGGTACATTTTTGTAAGGGGGTGGTGTTCTAATAGGAATTACAGGCCTTGATGTTTGGGGAACTCTTGTTGGGTATCTTGCTGGTGGAGTAGGAGGACTCATGCCCATTATCTCATCATTATTCATTGTTGGTTTCAATTTATAATCGGTGGAGCTTATTAGTGGTGGCGGTGACAAATCAATTACTTCAATAGATTTATTGTAAACTTCCTTTTGGAGATGTGGTTGTGGAGATGTTGTTTTCTGCACCACTAATGGTTTCTGATCGTGAATATGAACAACAGATGTGATTATATTTGATTTATTATTATTTCCACTGTTATTTAAAATAACTGTCGAATTTCTGATTGTTCCATATTTAGAACCCGACTCTTTAGAATGCAACGATTGTTTTGTGGAATTTAAGTTACCAGAGAATGGTGGATGTATGTCTTCTTCTGCATCTTCATATGAAACGTTAGTTGCATTTTCCATTAACTGATTAATTTGCCAATGCGGTTGTTGCAATTGGTGGTCTAAAGGCATAGTGTTCATTCCAAATGGTTTTGGTTGTGAATAGTAATTTGTATTATATATTGGATTAATATTATTCGAATGAAAAGAGGTCTTATTGAGACCGCTGAACGGTTTTTCAGTCTGCGTTCCAGGATTGAAATTAACAAAATAACTGCCATTATTTTGAGATATTGATAAAGTGTCTGCAAAGTTAGTTGAATCATAGGTCACGTTCACCCTTTCCTTTGGTGTACTGATTATCGGAATTTTCATGGATTCCGAACTAACCTCACCATCAATGTCACTATTGAAATTAATTTCTTCTTCACCATCATATATTTCATCTGCTGTTTCATATATTTGTTTAAAGGGTTTAGCAGATGTGGAAGTTTGTGTTATTGAAGATACAGTTTTATCATCTCTTATTGGTATATCGTATATTGTTTGCGTAACCCCATATATTGCAGGTATTAAATTCGGTTTTATGCTTGGTTGAACATTTTTTGAGTTGTTATCTACTTTTGGTTTTGAAAAAGGCTTTCCCACTATAAAATTATTGCTTGTTTGTTTATTCTCCCAGTATTCTGAGGGAGGTTTTCCAACCGTCGCAATTTTTTCGCCGAAATATGGTGTATCGTCACTATTTACATCATAACTTAAAGGAATAACTTTCCTTGTACTTGTTTCAATTTTTATATCTTTTACATTATCATCATTAAAAACACTTGAATACCAACCATGAGAATTAGTTGAAAGGTTTGGTACTAGGTTTGACAATCCTTCGTGAACATTAGGCTGGGATTTTTCCGCTTTATTTATAATTTGCTTTCGTTGAACATTTGAATTTGCATCTTCGTTTGTCATTGGAAAATTGGCGTGACTATTTATTACGGGTGAAGTGAAATGAGCAACATTTTTATTTTCATGCTCCTTTTTCGTAACTTTGTTATCATCATTGTTGTATTTTTGTCCTACTATTTGAGTCACATTGGGTCCAGGTATTGAATAATTAACTTTAAATCTGTTATTGTTTCCACTAGGTCCATAATTTTTGTCTTCAGCTAAAAGTGATGGATGTATCTTGCCATGAAGAGCTACACTCTCATATTTATCTCTGTCATCTTCTACTCTTATAGCAAAATTGGTACCGATAGGAATATTTGCATTTATTTGACCATTATCAGAAGTAGTTGTAATGGGTACTGTGATACTTGAACCCAATACATGTCCTGGCTTGCTTGCAACATTGGTAGCTGTATTGAGGGTTATAGTATACGTATTTTCTTTATTACTGCTACTGAAAGTTCTATTAGGAAAACTAGAAGAAGTAAGTGTGTGTGGATTCTTGGAATAAGTTGGAGCTCCCTGTTTGGGAGAATTATTATTCTTAGGCACTGTTGAAGGATTGTTGCTGGAATATGGTATTTTAAGATTGTAAGTGGGAGTAGGTTGACTGCTGGGCAATTGTGATGCAAAATAAATCTCTGAAGTTATTTTTGGAGGAAGTTGATTCGTTATTGGGTGTTGAATATTAACATAAGAATTAAGATCTTGAATTGGTTTTGAGTGAAGAGTATTTGGTCGTTGAAGAAAAGGTTTATTACTATCGTAACGATTGTCATGATTAAAATGTCTCTTAGGTGGGGGAGGCGGTACAGCGAGATAATTTTCATATTCCTTATCAATGACGTCATTGCCTTCCTTTGGATTATTTTTCACTTGATTAACTTTATCATAATTGCCATTGTATGTTTCAGGATTGTATATTGTTAGTTGTGGTCCAAATTTTACATTATTTACTTGATTGCTCTTTGGGGGGGGACTACTTTGTGTTAGGTCCTTAGGGCGTTTTGTATCAATCCAGTTGAATTTTTGATCGGCATTAGTCTTGCCAATTTTATAATTAGAATTACCGTCGTTTGTATACCTATCTGTTGCAGGTCCATTAGGTTTCAACACAAATTGGTTTTTGTTTATAACAACATTATGTACATTTGTCATATGAGGTGCGTCTATGCTAAAACTTCCAAAATACCCAGGTTCTGGATATGGTAAGGGATCATCAACATAATCACCAGTTTTATGAGGCTCTGCAGATCCCGCGAATACCAATGCGGTTGAACTGCCATGAGGTATCAGTACATTAGCAACTTTTGAAGGCTGTATATCGACTAATAAAGGTTTATTCATTGTACCTATAATGTCGAAATCTGCGCCTTGTCCATCCGTCATTATATGAGTACTAACGATTTCTGAGGAGCTAGGATTATTATCAGGTATTTCTTGTTCGTTGTTTTCTTTATTTGTTGATTTATTTTCAGAAGGTTTTTTCATCGTATTAGTGAAAGATGGTCTATAATCTACAATAGATGGACGTCCATGATAAACTAAATTAGGTGATTTATCCTTACTGTAACTTATTGGACCACTATGTTCGCTAGATTTGTATAGATTTCCTGAGTTCCTTAAAGGAATATGAATATTAGGTGGAGTGAAGTGGGCTCCGTGTGGTCTTATTGTATTTTTATTTACCATTGTATTAGGCTTGGGTAACTCTGGTGGCCTTAAATCATAGGAATCGTCGATTTTAGTACCGACCATAGGATGATCATTAAGAGGTTTCTCTTTAATGCTATACATGTCACTGTGTGCAACGGCATTGTCTGGAGCCTGTGCATGATTTTGTACCTTCATTCCAGTGCCTACTAAAGATAATGGACCTCCAACTGCAGGCTTTCCCACAATTACATCAGAGTTGGTGGTAATTATTTCCCCCGGACTTATAGGTATACCTCCATTAACTAAAGGGCTCTCATGCACTATTTTAGATTTCATAAGATTTAGTTTAGAATTCTTATGGTCTGCAGCCCATGCAATATTTTGTTGCAATGTAACATTAGTATAACCGATCTGTGATTCCGCCATTTCCATTTCATCAACTGGAATGTATATTGGAAAATTATTATGTTTAGATTCTATCTCGTTATCCACTCTCTTATTAGCACTATAACCTACTACTTTGTTTATCGGTTTCACTGTAGTTGTGGTAGAAGTCGTCTTATTTGTTTCCTGCCGTCTCATGAATCCACCGGTCATTTTTTCTATAACTGGTGCTAATTGTGATAAACCTTTTATTCCCAGTGAACCCAATTTTATTAGTTCAGCTACAACAAGCTTATTTTTATTAACTTTCTGAGGCTTATCAGGTTTGTTTTTTTCTGGTGGTTTTAATGTTGTACTTTTAGTTTTCGGTGGTTCTGGAGCTTGTTCATTTGTAAGCAAATCACTCATGTCTAATGAATTACTATCGTTTTCATCGGAGTAATCAGTAACTTGTGTGTATTTTTCTACAACTTTGTCAGTAGGTGGGCCGTGGGAACTGGTTTCATATTCGTAAGGATGATACTTTGTATGATCGAAAGATGAATGTGTAGGTTGTACGTCAATTTTCGTTCCGCTATATTTCGTGCTCTTCATTGAATTTTTATCCATTGCTTGACCTAATTGCGATTTAACATTTGTATATTTGGTTTTTAAACTTTCTGTTTGTATATGACTGCACGTACAAGATGTTGAGCATGAAGTATGACTCATCTCTGACGGCTCAATTAGATCAAAGTGATTATGATCATCGTCAATCCTCTTATCAATTTTAGGATTACTATTTACAAAACTGTTGCTGACTGCTGAGGGTTGTATAGTTTTCACGTCCGAGTATCTGGTCTGAAATCAGAAATAAAAAAAATATAAAAAACTTGAATTATTTGATGCATACAATGTTTCAAACTCCCAGCCTTATTAGAAGGTACAATGTTAAAAAATAACACGTTTAATGGGAATCTATTAAGCGAATTTGTATTAGACAGATACGACAGTGGGGTATGCAGTTTTCTATTATTAACCTTAATAAACCGTAGGAATCAGGCAAAAACCGATCTGGAAAATCAGGAAATAATATGCCATCACTTTGGGTACCAGAAATCTTACTTTTGTTGGTTTTAAGTCTGCTAAAACATCGGTAGCGTAAAGATTCGTGAGAGATTCAGTTGTGACCACCGATACAATTGTTTCAAACGTTGAAACTGCGCTTCTTTTATTGTGAACTACAGTTGTTAGATATGTATACGTAGTCATACAAGTCTTTATTATGTAATTATGCTGCATAAGCTGATGCAATGGAAAAAAAGCGCTCATTTGCTGTCGATTTACAAAAGTAGCGACGGCTGATGATAGCAACGACTTTTTCGGAGGTGCAGTACTCACTTGAGTCGTTGTTTTCGATGTAGGTAAATGCATAAATTTTAATTTTCTCTGAGGAAAAATATATTTATTACAGAAAACATTTGCAAATTATTATTAACCTGTATTATATATGGTTCAAAAATTGCAATTCTATTGCTATATCAACATAAGTATACTTAAATAAAACTTATTATTTTTAGTGACCTTGAAATTTATATACTTTATATAATGAACAGATTAATAAAAAAAGTACATATATATTTATGATATCATAAATTTCATCAATTATTTTTACAGCTTAATAAAATTACCTGCTCCTGTTTTTCCTCAGCACTTCTGTCCTTTACCAAAACTTCTACTCCATTAGACATAATTCTGGTTGCTAGATTTTTAAGTTTCCTTTCATCTTCTCCTCTTTCCGGTTCCACATCTCTCCCTGGTCTCCATGGCGAATTGTCATAGACTATAGCATTTGTATTAAAAGCTGCAACATGAAATAATATATTTAATTTCTCTGAATCAATTATGTGGCCGTATAATGTTTACTTACCGTAAGTGTAGTAATTATATCACAAACTTTGCATTAATTAAATGGTAGGATGAAATGATGGTGCAAAAGATCACATAAAGTGGTGTGTGGTAATTAGAGTGGCTATAACTGGGTAAGTACTGAGAACGTCTTATATAATTTTAATTACATCTTGCATAAGGTCATTATTAACAAATTAGGGTCAAAATTTTATATAATACAAATGTTTGTTAGTCTGTAATGTATCTTAATTAATAATTTTGGCAATAAGAGATAGATCATTTGTACGACTGTGGTGAAATTATTATTTTTTTCTTCAAGAATATTAACTAACAATTTTTTTTTAAAATGATCTAACTACTTATAAATTCTCTAATAAAACCCAAAAAAACCAACACCTATAGTTTCAAATTAAACAAACTACTTTCTACATCTACTCAGCAATTTCAATGTTCAAGAATAAATATTTACATTTCATATAAGATAGAAATAAGATAGGAAACTAAGATCTACATACATTGAACATTCAATTGCTGCTATGTTACTACAACAGGTAACTTAAACTCACCTTCAGAGGCGGTTGTGGAATGTGGAATAGATCCATCCACTGGATCTTGGATCTTCAAGGACTGTAGATCAGGATAGTCACAGGTCCAGTCATAAAGATCTTTTCAAAGTCTCCAAGTCATTCAAAGCATTAATTCAGTCAAATGTCAACATTTATAACTCTTAATTTAGTCTTTAAAATGTTTATGTAATGGAACATATTGAGAGTAGATAAAACTATAAGACTTTATTTTTATGGTATATCGTGCTTGGTAAAAATAAAACTATTATTTATATATTACATTTTATTACTTTAACATTTTAAGTCGTAATTTGCAATTTACAGAAGAAAGCAAATAGAGAATACAATCTAAATTTTGATGAGTTATTCTTAGGCAATGATTAAATATTTGTTACCTAAAAATATGTGCTTAGACGCAATACAACTCCAAATGGTAACACATCAGAATATATTTGGTGACCTTAAAAAAGTATAAAAACATTATAGCTATATGTCTATCTACAATATCAAGTACAGAAGAGTATTTGTATCTTAACACTAAATTTTAAAACTATAAGGCACTATTCATAGCTAGCTTACTATGATACAAAGTAAATAAATTACTAAATCATACTTTACACACCTAACCAAAACTTCGGTTTTCACGATATTTCATCCAATGACCTATGTTTTATGTCTCTAATTGTGGACGGTACATCTAATTTTACGACGTAAGTTGGCGATGCGTTAACATGATTATTTATTTTTCCTATTATGCTCTCTAAGCTTTGCGTTGCTGTTTGTGATTGGGAATGAGATTGGGGATCAGAAAGGTTTTTATCAGCCATAATTGAGTTCTCTAATAAATTATCGTCTTGTGAACCTACAAGTTGATCAATCGTTGGTAGTAATGATGGTAGAATTTTAACATCATCATAGTATATAGCTTCGCGTTTTCTTACTGTTTGTGTTTCGTCTGTAACTACAGTTGATAATACAGTACTGAATTCACCAGGGTGTCTGCCAGATACGTATAAAGTGACTACACTCGTTTGTTTTGGAGGAGCTACTGGTTTTGGTTTTGGTGAGCGTGGTTTACTTCTCTTTCTCTGCGGTGGAGGAGATGTTGGTGGAGGTACATATTCATCTATTTCTCTTTCCTCGCCACTATTCTGTATATCTTCAGAAAAATCTTCATTACTATTGAAATCTGGCAATATATTAGGTTTGGGACTGTTGCTGTAAATGTCACTATTTAAATTGCCATTGGACAATAAATTATTTTGCAATAAGTCGGGTTGTGCTAACCCAAGTAATGGATTTGCCGTTTGTAATGAGAGGGCTTGTTGCTGTTGTTGTTGTTGAAGAAGCAAAGGAAGAAGTAAAGAATTATACTGGGGTGGTGGAGCTAAGACTGTTGGTGTAGTAACTACAGTATCAGTAATAAATTCTGTGGCAGTAATTATATCTGTTGTTGGATTATTTATTGTTGTCAATACTGGTACACCTCTGAAAGTTATAGATAACACTGTTTCTCTATTATCTGTTACTGTTGTTACATATGTTGTACTTCTAGTTTTGTACTCGGTTACAGGTGTTTGTACTATTGGTTGCTGTGGCAACAATCCTTGTCCTTGGAGCGCCAGAAGAGGATTGATCGCAGGCTGTTGATTGCCTAGCAACAATTGAGACAGCAGCAAGTTTGCTAAAGGTACGTTAGCATTAATTTCTGGCGCTATTGTTTGTACTACAGGTTCTACATTATAAACTGTGCTAGGTACTAAATGAGAGTAAGAAGTCTTACGCCCCCTGATAGTTGTTGGTGTAAAAATGATAGTACTTGTAGGTGTTTCGTGTAAAATAAACTTCGTTATTTTAGTAGCACCGTTATCAGCTATTTCTGTTGATTCCATTGCGAGCACCAATTGGTGATTACCTATGGGACCAATAGAAGTTGAAACTTGATTGAGCAAAAGCGTCTCAATGCTAGGTTTGGCTGACAAAACGTTTTTGTACTCCGTGATCTTTCCGTTGACAACAGGTATGGTAACTTCAAAAGGTATTTGATGTGTTATCGTAATTTTGCCGTCGTTCAATATGTTATCATATTTATTACGTCTTTCACCACTTAAATTTTCGAAAGAATTTCTTTGTCTGCTTGAAGCTTTGCTTGTTGTTGTCCGTGATCTGGATCTTCCAGTACTTGCACGGGAGGAACTTGATCTTGAAGACTGAGTAGATTTGCCAGAGGGTCTGGGTGATTTAATTCTGGATGATAATGTAGTCGTCCTTCCCGAAGTTCTGGTTTTGCCCCTTCTATAAGCCGGAGAATTTGTTGTAGTAGATCTACTTTCCCCTCTTATTATAAATGGTTGTCTTGAGGAATGCTTTGCTGAAGCAGCTGTAGTAGTTTTAGTGTTACCAGATAAACGTGAATTATAACGTCCCGATTTTTGTTTCTGAACGGAAGGCGCGGGTGGTTCCGTTTCTGGTTCTGGTTCTGGGCGTCTAGTGCTTACGGATTTAGTTCCAGGTCTTCTGAAGTTAGAATACTTTCTGTTACCATAATCAACTTGACGTTTAACTCTACGTTTAAAAGCAAACGGCCTGATTTGAACAATATTTCTGCGAGGGGACACGGGGAAAGGTGAAGCTACTTGTTGTTCCTTTCTATTAGAGGCGTCATAATCATTATCTTCTTCAAACTCCTCTTCATCTAATAATTCTTCATCATCCTCTACTTTTTGTTCATTTTCTTCTATCTCTTCCTCTGGTTCTGGTTCCGGTTGTCTAAACAAGTTTCTTCGCGGGAAAAGACCATTAGGCCGCTGTCTACGTAGAGAAAGCAGGGGATTCGTTGTTGATCGCGTCGTTGTTCTTCGTGTTGTAGTAGTTCTTCCTCGAGTAGTAATAGCACGTCTAGAAGATGGAGTAGTTGTTCTTGGCGCTATTGCTGTGCCAGGTTGTCGAACGATTGGGGGTCTTCTGAATTTCAAAAGAGGATTATTTGTTGTGAGTCTAGCCGGAAATTCAGTAGCTTCATCCAAAGATTCAGTTACACTCTCTTCTTGCTGAGTCGCAAATGTTTCTGATTCATTTTGGTCTATTTGTGGATATTGTATTGATGCAGATTGCCTACTACCTCTCAGCCGTGACGAGGCAGTAGGTCGAATTCGTGGAATAGCAGATCTACTAGCAAAACTTATGCTCCCACCTCTAGATGAACTAGACCGAAAACCAGTTCTTCTTGAAGAAGGCGTTATACTGCCTCGCTGAAATCCACCAGCTCGAGATGGAGAAGCATTAGCAGACAAATATATAGAAGCGCTACTGCGTCCAGAAAATCTTTTTCCTGCACTAGATGAACCGGATATATTCGGTTGTTTTCGGTTACCGGCAAAACTACCCGAAGGCCGCACAGATTTTAAAGTTGGTGTGGCTGTTATAGTTGGTGTAAAGTCAGCACGAGTAATTGTTGTAGCACTGTTTGGTTGTAAACGTTTTGGACTGAAAGTAGGGCGATTTCTTGAAGCAAATGGTATTATGACGGGAGTAAATGATGGCTTTTTAGTTGTGAAAGTAAGGCGACCTTTCTTTTTAACACTAGGGTTTTCTTCTTCTTGTTCTTCGTTCTCGGATATTGATTCTGTTGTCACTTCGGGTTCAGCAACAGAACTTTCAATTACTTCAGGCGTTGGACTAATTATTGATTTTTCAGTGGTTGTGGTAGACGTTGTACTTTGCGTCGTAGTAGTCTCTTCGTCTAAAGTTTTATTATCACTTGTGATAATTGTAGAATCACCAGAAATTACCGCAACTTGCGAAAACAAAATCTTCTTTTCAGTGTTAGTTTCTACCGGTTTCACTTCTGCAAACAAGTTGTCAATATACGTCCCTTGTAATGTTGTAGATGATACAAGTGAAATATCCGGTACTTTAGTTGCTTGAATTTCTTCCTTAACTTTTGTCGGTGTATATGGTTTTTCACTAACGTCTTTGATCAGATTTTTATCTACGGCTCCATTGGGTACTTTTCGGCCCAGTTGATTATCTTCTACTAACTGGGTATTGTCCACAATGTTTGTTACTGTTTCTAGACTGCTTCTTATCTGTGAAGTGTTACCTGCATAAAATGTTGTGAAATACGTATATGTTGTAAAGACTGTAGTTTTACCATCATCATTTCCTGAAACGTCCTCTTGTAATGACGGCTTCGTATCTGGTTCAATGTTTGGTGGTAATACACTTACTATATCAATTGGCGTTGTGTCAATAGGACTTACTGTTGCTATCGACTGAGCTGATGGAGTAACAACGTTGGAGACAATTTCTTCCCGGCTCGTTATCGTTGTTGATTTGTCTTTATATAAAGTTGTCCAGTATGTAAAAGTAGTGTAATATGTTATTGGTAAATTATTCTCTTCTTCGGGTTCTGTTTTAGGTGTAATTGTTTCTGTTACAACATTTGTTATAGTTTCTAGACGACTTTTTATTTTACTAGAATCTGTTCCAATGTACATAGTAGTAAAATATGTGAATGTTGTATAACTAGTTTGTAGCAATAGTGTAGGGGAAGGTATAATTTCGTCAATATTACTCTCAGAACTTATCTGATCGTCAAGTACATTATTGTTATCTAAATATTTAGTTTCTCCTTTGGAAGACGACGATTTAACGTCAGTGACATAGGCATTTTCTGAAACTAAAGGATTTGATTCAACGCTAAACAACATATCTACTTCTATTGGAGAGGGTTGTTGTGCATTTTCTTTATCTTGTTGGTCATTGTCACTTGTAATACTTGTTTCTACCGATGAATTATCGTCTACACTCTGTGGAGTCATTCCTTTAACTTGTTTACAATTTCTAAAATCAAACTGTGCTCTCGTATTTTCTGGTAATAGTGAATTTGTTTTTGTAGGTATTAACTCGTCAGGACCAACGTAATTCGTATGAACTTCATTACGGCTACAAATATTTGCGTCAGAACCCACATATATGGTTGTAAAGAATGTGTATGTTGTGAAATAAGTTTTGACAGAATCTGGTTTGATGCTAGACATTAAACTTTCATCTAAGTTTGGTGTAGGCGTTTGAGAACTATATGATTTTTCACTTTCAACAGATTCAATTACATCTTTATTTTTCACGAGGTCAATAATACTATTTATAGCCAATGCTTCTGTAGGTTTCCCAACTTCAACATTTGTCGGTGATATTTCACTATCATCAAAAGCTCCCAGCAACGAAGGATCAAGTTTAGATAGATCGATGGTTGAAGTGATGATATTTGTAATAACTGATTTGTGACTAGCAACACTTGATGTCTGGTCTCCAAAAAAGGTGGTAAAGTAAGTGTAGGTTGTGTACAGTGTTTTATATATAAGATCAATTTCGTTAACAGAATCTCTTATATCATCTTCGTCAGAATTTTGGCTTTCTGTTGGAGTGCTCTCCGTACTAACGGAAACTTCAATATGGCTTTGACTTGTAGAAACACGTTCGGTTGTTGTTGTTTGTGAAGTTTCTTCTTGTTGTACATTTTCATGGGGTGTTGTTTCTTTATTATTTTCAACAGAAGGCTTTTCATCATCTTGGGAAACAGTTGGTACCTCTGTATCATCATTGGGTATTGTTTCTGATGTACGTTCAGTTTGAGTATCCATATCTTTATTGGGGGAAATATTAATTTCATCGTCAGCAACCACTTGCGGTGATTCAATATTGGTGATTTGTGTATTATCCAGCTCAGAAGTCATCACAGACGTAGGCTCAATGTTTAAATTGGTTTTACATATATAATTAGTAATATAACCAACGTCACTCTCAACAACAACGTCAGACTTTATAGAGGTTGTTGTATCTGTACTTTCTAATGGAATAAAATAAGTTGTTAAATATGTCAAAGTTTTATATGCGGTTGTCATAGTAGATTGAGTTTCAAGGCCATCACTACAGTAGACTTCTTCATGTTTGTCATATTTATTTTCTGTTGTGGTTTCTATTTCATAAGACTCATCACTATGACCACTTTCAGTTGTTGTTAAAATGTCTGGTTCTGTCTCTTGAGTATCATCATCTTCTTCCTCTTCTTCTTCAGGTTTTTCAGTTACTTCAGCAGCAGTATTTTCAGATTCCTCCTCAGAGTTTGCTAATATTTCACTTAATTTTTCCTCTGTGACCATTGTTTCTTTAGGCTCTTCGACTATAGTATTTGTTGGACTCAAGAATGTCAAAGGATCAGTAGCTTTAAAGTTCATATCGTCAACCTGTTTAATCTCTAAGTCTTCTGTGACTCTTGTACTTTCTGTCGTGGTATATCCAGGCTCTGATGGTTGTATAACATCTACATTTAATTCGAAATTATTATTGTATTGAACACTTACAGTATCTGGTACTTTATCATCCACTTCATACATAGCTTTCTTTAAATTTTGTTCCTCAGCTGAAGAAACTTTTTCTGTAACGCTTTCTTCGTTACTGAAATAAGGTACTTTCGTGATTGAATCAACTTCATGAGGCTTAAAGGTCGATGTTGCAAGGGGAATATCGGCAGATAAAAAGGTTATTTTAGTGGCTAATTTATCAACAGGTTTGGCTGATGGAAAGACATTAACCTCGCCTGGTCTAGGAGTTTGTACTGTTTCAGTATTTGGTGTAAATATAATTACCGTATCGCCAACAACAGTCGTAAAATCAGCGAAACCGGCGTAAGTAAAGGTCTTTTTGGGTCGCGATTCACTTTTTTGACCGAACAATTTTTTAGGTTGTTTAGTTTGGGGCAAGGATTCTTGTGGTTGACGTCGAGATTCAACATTGTCAATATAATAAAATATTGGTGAAAACTCGTTTTTAATCGTAAATGTCGGCAGATCATAACTAGGCTTAACTTTAACAATGTTCGACTCGCTTATCTTATCCTCCTGTTTATTCGTATCTGGTACAAATGGTTCGGTAACTGGTTCATAAGCTTTACTCTGACGGTAAAGGTTATTAACATTATTAATTACAGGCATATATTCAAGTTTTTTATCATTTTCAATAGTTGGTCCGTCAAGATAATTGTAAACTTCAAATTTTGGTTCACCATCATAGGATTGTACTTTACGTGCTGTAGGTTCATCGAAAATTTGATTTTCAACTTGACTATCAGAAGATACTGGTGGATTCCAAGATTTGAAGTTTTCTTGAGCGGGCCTACTAGCATATACAATTTCCATTTTACTACTAGGTGCTAAATAATCGGTGTTCTTTAACACGAACTTGTCAGGATCGATGATGCCCAAATCCTGTTTGACGTTCCACTCTCCATCGAATGCAGAATGCGCTCGTGTCGGTTGAACAACAACAGAATCATCATCATTCGATGGTTTATTGTACAATACTAGAGATGATTTAGTAAGTAGTTGCGCATATATGCGCCCGTTGTCCAGAGTCGTGCCCAGAATCTGAGTAGCGTACTCAGTGGTGACCCCATCTTGTATAAAAGTCCTTGCGGTGGACGTCAATAGGCCGATGAGTGGTTTCACACTGTGGTATCTACCGTTTTTGCTATAGTCGTTTCGTTTTTGGTCGTTCACAAGCAGCACTGTCAGGTCTATTGGTCGTGTCAAGTCATAGGTGGGATTGAGGTGCGTTATAATACAAAGTCCATTGAGTTCCAAGTTGACCAGGACCGGGGATTAGATTTGAAAGAGAAAGAAAAAACATACAATTAATAACGCTATACGGATAGATATTTATTCTAAGTTAAACACTATAGCAGAGGAAAGTTTCAGGTGTTAAAGAAAAAATGTACAATAAAAGTTTTATTAAAGATGATTATTCATTTTTAGAGTTAATTGAAACTTGCAAGTAAATATAACGAATAATCATCTCCAGACGTTGATAATTTACAAATTATTAGATATAAATAGTAAAAAAGATTAATTATTATATAAAGAAGTAAAACAAAGATAAGATAAGATAAGAACGATTATAGCAGGCATATTTTACAATTTTATTAGTGCAGATAGTTTTCTAACATACCCCTGTTCTCCGGAACGCCTTCCCTCTTTACTCTGGATACGTCTATCGATTCATTGTCGTTGATTTCTGAAATAAATAATAAAATATTAAGAAAGAAATAAAGGAATATTTAAAGGAATATGTAAAGTAGTAAGTAATGTAATGTATATATATGTATGTTTAAAATTAATATTGACATTTGACGACTTTATGTATAAGAAGACAAGTCGATGTATTACAGTGGAGACATTTTAAGCAGCATTCCATTAATAAAAAAACGTATGTAAAATAGACTTTCTTTAAGCCGAGAATAATGAATGAACATATCCGGGTGAGTGAATCTTTGGAGGAATGTATGACGTCATAATTACAAAGTTACAGGGGCTTAACATGACCCCGAGATGAAAAAAATGCACTCGTTCGAATAAAATTTCGTCACAGCCCAGATGTATTAGAAAGTGCGAACAAGGTCGTATGAGATTACTTATGAAATTATAATGAAATACTCTGTAACACGAGTGTGGTCTATATTGCTTGCGTTACATGTGCCTACATAATACTTCATAGAATTTATTATTAGAAAGAAAAAACTATTCCGCTCTTCGTCTCAATTAATGTTCTTATTTTTGTTTTATTTTATCATGAAAAATAAAACAATTTGTTCAATTCTAGAATGCATATCATATATTTTAAATATAGAACGTTCAAGACAAAATTCTAAAAGGATTACCCCAAGGAATGCAATTCATGTTGCAGTAACAATGCGTAAATCGTCAATATTAAAATGTCCCAGTTTTCTATGCCGGGTGTATATAACTTGCATATTAATGTGACATTTCATTCGGAAATGGTTTGAATCGGATTCACAGTATTTGTGTCAAACATCCATTTATTCAAGGCTCGTATTGACCCACTGGCTGATTCCGTAAAAAGAAACAAGATCACTAAGATATATTTAATTATAAGTACAAAATATATAATACAATAATATTGTAACTATTTAATTGCGATTTTTATAACGGTGTTAAATCTTAAGGAAATATTTTAATATCAAAGAATTTCATTTATAGATTTTTTTTATTTTTGTAAAAAAATATTATATTTTGTAAATAGTATGTAGTTTTATTCAAAAATAAAGCACACGTAGTATATCCGAAAAAATAAAGTTTCATTTCAACACATCTTTTTCAATTATAACTATACTTGTTATATATATATACTATATAATATTTATTAATAATATAATCATGTCGCATATGTTTGTATGTCTTCCTAATCGCGGTGCAATTTCTCCGGAAACCGAGTGCGCTTCACGCATTCAAATGGCGGCCGACATCCAAAGAGGTCGACGCCATCTTGAAAACAAATTAAACGTTAAATGTATCCCATAGCTGGGAAAAGACCTGCTTTCTAATACTTTTTAGAGTTTTAGAATAATTATGCCGTGTTATAAAGGTTAATTTGATTTGTTAAGTTCTTAAATGGAAAAACTATGGGTATATTATTTACGTAAATTATTGTATCCGGGTTCAAAAACTTAGGTATTATATAAGTATTTGCAAGTGAATATTATTGAGTACTTTATTACAAAGACATGTTAAAATTGATAGTTATATACATAGATTTTTTAACGAAGACAAACCTGCTGTTAAAATATGCTATAACCAACCGTTAAACTAACTTAAACAGTTAAAATGACGTTTGGAGAAAGCTAAGTTCTAAGATTCAACAAAATGCAATGTCACATGCAAAAATAACTGTACACAAAATGACGGCTCCGTTGACATAAATAAACAGTTACGGCTTCCGCTTCATAAAAAATGTATTAAGAATATTAAAATGAAATGTTAATTAATAATTATATCAAAACAGAATTAATTTTTATATCTTTGCCAACGGAATTGTAACAATAGCACTCGTCAAACTGACCGAACAGAACAATGTTTTTTCACACGATCCTATTATTTCAGTATGTCATTGAAATTTGTACTTTATGTCTTATAATTAGAACTTAAATTTAAATGACGTTATGGTGAGGAAGAAACGTTCCAAATTCAAATTTTAATAAGCATCTTATGTGTGAATTCTAAATAATGAGTTCTTCATAGTACCACGATTGTTTTTTTTTTCTTTTATTTCTTAATGGCATTTCACTTTTGCCGGCCAGTATCTGTTTATTGTTTGTAATGAAAGTGAACGGATCGTGGATTGCGGAATAATGTTGATCTAGATTAAATAAAATATTTGAATGTTATTATATTGTGTTAATATTAATTGTATGAATAAGGTTTTATAGATTACACTTAAAATAATTAACTAGAAATTACTCAATCTGGCCAGAAATAAAATAGTAGCAAATAATTTAAATTTGGAACTATGTAAGTGTTCGGGTGTATTTTTGTTATTTAATTACAAACACCAATCAAAGCTTTTAAGAACAGTAAAGAACATTACAGCAGGAAAAGTCTTGTGAAACGAGTGAAAGGGAAAGTCTTATGCTTATTCCGCTTGTGAGAGAGAGACAGATAATTATGTCAGTGGGTAAGTCAATGCACTTAAATTGCAATTGCAATTCCCGAGACGAGAGTAAAGCGTAGGAATTTAAACCTTATACTATAAAAATTAAAATCCAAATTACATATTCATGATATATTAAGTTTGGTGTACAGGGCTTTTTAAATATGCAATATTTTAACGTAATATTACTTTCTTTTATAACTGATATTTCGTCAAAGAGACAAATTGCTCAACAACATTTGTACAATAACAACTGAATTGAAATATTTGTATTGAAAAATCTTTAGAGATTTTTTATTTAAAAACAGTTTAAATGTCAGTTATATTGTGTAAAAACAAACATTGCGAATCCCCGTGAGATTTTAATCGTGAGACAAAGAATTACGAAAGGCGAGACGATTATAAGAACATTGTCATTTTTATTGCAATATGTATATGATAAAAATAATTGCGTAGCAATTTATATCTAGACCGTTTATCAGAACAAAATGTATTTTTTGGATCTATGGAACAAAGTTTCAATAAAATGATTGTTAATAATTTGTTCTGGAATTCGTGGTGGCTTAGTGGTTAAAGGCTCGCCTCTCATGGACGAGGGCGCGGGTTCGAAACCTGGCAAGTACCAATATGATTTTTCTGAGTCATATGTACTTCTTATGTATTTAGACACCACTGACAGATAAAAGAAAACATTTTGAGGAATCCTGGACTTTATTCAAATTATGTGTTTCAAATCGCCTATCCGCCTTAAGCGAGCGTGATTCTCCATAAGAGAAGATGCCTTTGCTCAACTGTAGGCTGATGATGATGAGTTAATTCTTACTCATACATATAGTATATACTGTAAATATAATACATACATATAAAGAAAATACAAAACAAAATATTTGATCTTCTAAATTATTCTAATATTAATTACATAGATATATTTTTTAATTTATTTTAGTCGCGCAACTCAAATTGCAAAATGTCTGCCCATACTGGTTTTCAACGGGCTTTCTAAAGTACTTATGTCCTTGTTAGATTTATTGATTATGATTTATTTACCGACTTCAAAAAAAGATGATGTTAAATTAAAAATCTTAATATTTTTTTGTCCATAATTTTTAATACAAATAAAAATGAGATATAATGAGGATAGATATAGAAGATCTTTTTATTTTTATACTCAAATCTGTACAGATTTTTCAGATCTGTACAGATTTTGATGAAAAATAAATCTAATATTATTTTTAATATACAGGGTGACTGGTGAATTACTATCAATATTTGAGGACGTGATATTTGACGATCGTATATGACAAAATAAAAATTAATATAACATAAATATTAATAAACTTCTAAGTAAAGTTAACCAAAAGTTATGTAATTAATTACGCATCGTGTGAACATCCTACAGATTAGGTATACACTGACACTCACACATACGCGTGTCGTGACGTGGTGTTGTATCAGCACGCCGCCGCACGCGTCCACACTCGGAACACTTGGAACGTGTCAACACTTTATTTATTTATACGGAAATTTGGTCAAAAATTAAGTGCCTATTTTTTTTACATAATTCGAATGAGAATCATGTACCGAGTATTCTCCTTAAATATTGATAGTAATTCACCAGTCACCCTGTATATTGGATATTTTTTCAATATATTTATTTAGCTACGATAATACAGGGTGACTGGTGAATTACTATCAATATTTAAGGAGAATACTCGGTACATGATTCTCATTCGAATTATGTAAAAAAAATAGGTACTTAATTTTTGACAAAATTTCCGTATAAATAAATAAAGTGTGTACACGTTCCAAGTGTTCCAAGTGTGGACGCGTGCGGCGGCGTGCTGATGCAACAACACGCCCCGCTCGCGCGAGTGTGTGTGTGTGTGTATACCTAATCTGTAGGGTGTTCATACGATGCGTAATTAATTACATAACTTTTGGTTAACTTTACTTAGAAGTTTATTAATATTTATGTTATATTAATTTTTATTTTGTCATATATGATCGTCAAATATCACGTCCTCAAATATCGATAGTAATTCACCAGTCACCCTGTATATAAACTTGTGGTATATTTAGTCAGCTGTGTCACTAGAACCTAGTATTGCTACATCAAGTCTAGTTAGTTAGTTATAGGTACCTATTTATATTGACAATTGTCGAATTAGTCATATTGTAATATAACCCTTATGATTCATTGAAGTATTCTCCCAAATTAATATATTTAAAATATTAATTAAATTACGTCATACTGTCAGTTTGATAGTTTTAATTATCGTAAATTTTTCTTACGAATTATATTCTGATTTTAATGTTAATATACTGGTGTGCTAAGTAGAATAAAAAACTATTGACGCATCGAACGAAGTGTGAAGATACTAACTTGGACTAAGGATACTATACTGTTAATACGAGTGTTATATAATTAATTAACAAACGGTAAACTTAGTTACTGTCGGTATAAAGTTTAAACTGGTACTAAGGGTATAATAAATTAATAGTCAACAAAGGTTATATGTAATAGGTTGAAGGTTTGAAATTACGTCACTTAATATACATATATATACATGTGTGTGTGTGTGTGTGTGTGTGTGTGTGTGTGTGTGTGTGTGTGTGTATATATATCTTCCTAGTATCATCCTTGTACTAGCGAGATTTTATTATTCATAAAAATACTAAAGTAATTACAATATATTCTATACTTAATGATACCATACTTTTTTGTTTTGCTATACATAAGTCTTCTGTTAAAGAATCGCATCAAAAAAGGTCTAGTTCTTTTCATTGAACGTAAATTCATATTAGATT